GTGAGTCAGAATTAGAAACTCACACTCTCCCAAGATGAGCCCTTGAATGAAGCATCACATTTTTGGGAACTCGGTACAGACTGCTAGGCAAACCCTAGCCATCAGATATGTCCCAACCATGTTCTTGAACAGTTCAGTGCTCAAGATGCTAAGAGAGGCCAGGAATGGACCTAATTCTGGCTCTTGTTTGCAGCACCTGCTTGCTTCCTACTTTGTACTTGTTCATGGGCCTGCTGCTCCATGCCAAGACAACTGAACCTAATCAGAGCCTCACTAGAAGTTTTGCCAACCTGTACAATACAGACGACCTTGTAGAGTTGTCTGAAGAGCTTTGTTTCTGGAGAACTTCTGGATATTTTGAGATATATATGAATATTTTGACAACTGTGTAAAACCTAATATTTATTCCTCATTAGTATTATGATGAAAATAATTCAAATTAATCTTGGACCCTCTGACAAATGTTTTCATAGGTTTTGTGTTTTGTTTTGTTTTGTTTTTTTTTTACTCTTAAGATAATATAGGATAAAGTGAAAAGTTATTATCAGGGACTGGAGTTCAACCAAATTCAAGTTAATACCTGTTTATTTGTGAGCAAGTTCTTAAGAGCATTGATTCTCATTTTCCTATCTGCAAAACATGGGTTGTTATTATTCATACTTAATAGGATTATTTTGAGCAACAAATGAGGTAATGATTCTGAGAAAGAACAACCTAATGCATGGCATGTTATAAGTTCTTAGTGAATTTTTATTTTTTTTCTTGAATACCAAGAATGGTCTCATTTCTAGACCTTTCTTCCATAGAATGTCTTTTGCTTATCTGGTCCCTTTCTCTCTTTCAAGGCCTCTGTCCAAGTTTTTTCTCCTTGAGCTGCCAAAGCCTGCAGTGACTTTTTTGTTCTCTGGAACTTTTTCCCATACACTGTCTATTGATGTTTCCCAAAGGTTTTATGTAGAGGGAGCGTTTTATTTCCTCAGCTGGCATATGTTTGTCAAAAATAAGAATTGTGTGTTCTATTCCTTTCTGTTCCCAGAGTTGAATGAATGCCTGCCACACAGCAGATACTCAGTAATTGTTGATGCTGTTTCAAACCACCAAATAATATGACAATCATATTATTCAATCAACTACCAAATAATTCAGTAGAACAAACATTTCTTGTTTGCATCAAGGAAACGATTTCCTTTATACTTATGCTTCTGAGACCACTTCATTCCAACATCAGGACTATACTTTTTCTGATGTGCTTGACCTACATGAGTTTGGATTTCACCTTTGAGAATGATGTGGGTTCTTCAGACTTTCCAGCTTGTTCTTACATGGAAGCTCTCTGAGACCTTTGATATTTTCCCTTTTCTTTTAGTATCTGGAAAGGATCTGAGGATTTTGCTTTTCATCATGGTAAAAAAGATCATGTTTGTTTGTATGTGGGTAAAATAAATATCTTCTGATTGTTTTCTGGTAATTCTTTCTCATTAGGCCCGGATGCTTTTGTACTGTTTCTTTGGGCTACGAGAGCCAAAGAGCTAATATTTCAGGGACTTTGATAGTCCTTATTCACTATTTTAATAATTCCTTCATTTCATACTCATATATAAGGCTTGAGTAGTGTTGTGCTGAATAAATTAAGAACATGGATCTTGTCTTCCATGTGCATCTGAAAATAACAGCTGACATTTGTCGACTCCTACAATATTCCAGGCCATGTGGTGAAAATTCACAAACATTATATTATTTAATCTTCTTTCACTCTAAGATATAGATTTTATTATTTCCATTTTATAGGTGAAAAAACTGAAATTTAGCAAGTTAGTACCAATTTCCCAAGGTCGTACAGCTAAATAGTCTTGTAGAGCAGATGAGACGTATGGTGGTAGAGTGGAAGTTAATAGAGAGTTTTTGTTTTATTCTGTTTTTTACCTTAGGATCCACTCTTGGTGCTGTACATTTTATAGGTTTTAACAAATGAATAATGGCACGTGCCCACCATTACAGTGTCATACAGAATAGTCTTACTACTCTGAAACTTCTGTACTTACCTACTCATCTCCCCCTGCTCCCTAACACCTGGCAACCACTGATCTTTAACTGTCTCTATGGTTTTGTCTTTTTCAGAATGTTCTGTATTCAGAATCATACAGTATGTGGCCTTCTCAGATTGGCTTCTTTCACTTAGTAATATGCATTTAAGTTTCCTCCATGTCTTTTCATGGCTTCATAGCTCATTTCTTTTCAGCACTAAAAGTCCAATGTCTGGATATATCACAGTGTATTTATACATTAACTTACTGAAGAACATCTTAGCTGCTTCCAAGTTTTGACAATAATGAACAAAGCTGCTATAAACATTCATGTGAACAGAGTGACTTTAAACACTCACTGTGCGAGTGCAGAAGCCAAAAATCAGTTCCTGATTTAGGTCTTGAAGGTGGTGATATTTTGATGGATGGACACAGATGGAGGGACATTTTTGGCAGAGAGAACAAAGGAGGCAAATATATTTCAAATGCTCGCCAGCCTGATTGCTGGGTGCTTTCACATGTTTCTTAAACTTCACAGTCATCTGGAACATTCCAATAGCAATTATTATGCCATAGTTTCACACAGATGAAGACTAATGCTCAGAAATAGTATATAATGTCTCCAAATACACAGAGCTAGATAAGTCACAATTTGAACTGAATCTGACTCCCAAGTCTGTGCTCTCTGTCTCATCCTACCAGGCTCTAGTTAAGGGCAAAAAGATTGGAGAAAATGGTTGGCTAGAGCGTATGACATGGAAAGGATATGTGTGGTAATAAAGCTTGACAAGGAGGTTGGAGCCAGGCAATGGAGGGTCTATTGGGAGGGTGGTTCAGAGCAGTGGGGTAGTGAGTGTGAAGAATCAAATATGGAGGACGAAGGGAAAAGTGGAAGGGCACAGAAGAAGAGGAAAGGAGAATCTTATTTTATTTTACAACATTTCCTAGACTTAATGGTATTGATGCCAGTAAGAAAACTTCTGAGAATATGTAAATGTCTAATACTGGTCATCTTCAGGAGAAGAAACAGGAAACCTGAGCCTGGAGTTCTGTTAGATCTACCCTAGAGAGGAAGTCACGTTGGCTTTCCTTGGTCTCAGAGAATGTCCTCTTGGTTATAACCACCCCTACTTCGTAAGGGTACTTCAAAACATTCAGAACTTCCTTTGATTTGCAGGGAGTGTTTGGAGAATCAGTCAAATAATTAAGTCATGAGGGCTTTTAGATCTCAGAGCTTGATGTAAACTTGGATGAAGAGCCTTCATGTTTTTCTCTTTTATTAAAATTGACTTAGCACTGCAACTTTTAAAATCCAAATCATGGACAGTTAATGCTGGAAGAAATGCCTGTGATCTTCTGGTAATTTTTAAAGATGAAAAAACTGACTTCTAGGAAAGTTATGAAACTTGCCTGGGATGACATTGTACCTGCCCCCCTGACATTAAAACCAAGGTTGCTGCATGCTGAAATGTGGCCATTCATGCTGGGACCAACCAGCTAGAGAGCATTGGGAGCATTTATTTACCCAGGGGATTATGGTGATAATGTAATATGCCCTTTGAGAGGCCCTCTTCCAGAACATTGCCTTAAGCATGAAGGATACTAATTTAGCTGTCACAAATAGTTCATGGAGGGGACAGACTCTCAAATCATCCTAAATCAACAGCTCTCTCCATGTGGTTACCACCGGCAGCTCTCAGAAAGGCTCTCCCTTCTTCCTACGCTGCCTGTTGGCTTCAGCTTGGTAAGGCTTGTGATGAGAAGGCTTAGAAGGGAAGTAGGGGATTCCTCATGTGTGTGGGCAGTCCCCAGTGGAATCTGCTTGACTGCAGCCACTGGTGTGCCAGGAGAATGGGAAGCAGGGATTCCACACCCCAGGGTATGAAAACAAATCCCTCCCCATGCCTTTGAGCAAAATGTCTTGCCAAAAATAATCTGTGAGAAGAGATGTTGTTCCAGGCAGGAGCAATAGGTGGTGCTTTTTGTTTTTCTTTTTAATTTCCTTTTTTAGTAGGTAATACAAGCATCTGGTGCAAAATTTTAAAAATATAAAAAAAGTAGACCATGAAAAGTAAGTGTCCCCCCATTCCTGACCTCAGGTTCCAATTCCATTTTCCAGAGGCAATATTTATGATCCGTTTTCTGAGAATTCCTTCAGATATATTTAATGCCCATACAAGCATTATTAATATTTTTTAATGTGAATGGTAATATATTTTATACATGATTCTGCCCCCTTTTTTTCACTTCATATATTTTGGAGATTGCTCTGTATTGAACTGCTTTGTTCTTTTAACCATCATATTACTATAGACATTTCATTTATTCAGGCTTCCTTTCCTCATTATTTTACCTCTCTTGCTGTTGAGTACTCGCTTAGTTCAAGTTAGGTTTTTCAAGCCATTAAACAAAAGAGAAAGAGCCAATGTTAGAAATATATGCACTCAAATCTACTGAATTCTGAAGGATTAGACCAGTTTCTATGGCCCGTATGATCTGAAGACAGGATAGTCTTACTCCTGTGTTGCAGTGAAAGAAGAAGTAGCCAGGAAGCTTCCAGAATTCATTCCCAGTGCATCCTGGGAGTTTGTGGCCATGGTGGAATGACTGGCCACAGCCTTCTGCATGAGGGGATCTCTGACTGAATGGATTTCTCAAGATGACTATTAAATGCTCTGTTATCCAAAATGGGAAAGGGGGGCTCAGAGAGACAAAACAATATACTAGAGATGGGTTTGGCAGAGGTGAGGACAGATCTTAGATGCTTGCATGACAGAATACTCCTGGCTCATCTTAGGAAATGTTATAGAAAAGCAAGGGAGCAGGTACAAGTCTGGGTCTAATCTTCATAGAAAAAATGGTCTCTCGTCAAGTCATTCCTTCTATAGCTCCTGCATTTCTGCTTCATAGGATATGACTTGTCAATTTCATTTGTTCACCTTTTTTCCTAAAAATATATCCTTTTTCCTCCATCAGGTGCCACCTCAGTATCCTCCAATTCAAAGTATCAAAGTACAATTTACCAGTAAGTATTGTTCAATTGATTCATGTTTTTCTTTAAAAAAAAAAAAAATGTTTATCCATTCATTCTGAGAGAGAGAGTGAGCAGGGGAGGGACACAGAGAGAAGGAGACAGAGAATCTCAAACAGGCTCCACACTGCCAGCATGGAGCCCTATGTGGGGCTCAGTCTTACAAACTTTGAGATCATGACCTGAGCTGAAATCAAGAGTTGGATGCTTAACCGACTGAGCCACCCAGGCACCCCTGATTCATGCTTTTAAATGAATCTTCTTTCTAGTCTCTTAATTTCTTCCCCCAAACAGGATCTCTTCCTATTCTTTGGGAAGTATGAAATCCTGCAATTGTTAGAGCCTGCATGCTGTTTTCATTAGGGACAAAGAAAATGTATAAAGAATAAAAGGGAGTAATTAGTTACCAAATATATGCTTGTCACTATTAATCACTTTATATGCCTCTCAGGAAACCTCTGAATAGGAATTATTCTCATTTTTCGTAGGTAAGAAAACTAAAGGATGACTTTCCGACACATCATTTCCCACTAAGTTGATTATAGGACAATATTCTGTCTTAATGAGAGTTGGGAGGTCCCAAATATGAAGGCAAGGTGATCCACTATTAGGAGAGCATTATTTGGATCCATGATTAGTATTAGGACAATCACCAGTAGTTTCTATATGGATATTCATTTGTTTCATTCATTCCCTTCATTTGCCTGAAGGGAAGTATATCTTGCCCTCCAAAAGTGGTCTTCATTTTCAATTTAAACTATGCCACCTGGGCCTGATGCAAATCAAGAATTAACTGAATTGTGCCCAAGAGTGGGGACTATTCTTTCCTATGACTAAGGGACATGGACCAGAGTGGGTAATCTGAGATGTGGTTGCTTGGCCATTCACAATGATATTGTGGCTGAGGTAGAAATAAAAGAAATTTAGTCTTTTTGCCTTACACTTGGAATGGCCCTACACAAAGCTACCAAAGCTATCAATCTGTGTCCTCCCCCATCCTTTATCTTCTCTCTCCTGTGGTAGTAACTTTCCCCAAAGCACTTTCCGGGAAAAACTAGCAATAAAAAGGTAAAATGGAGAAGCAGTTCTGTGTTCTTGAACTCTTCCACCTACATCGTATCGAGCAGAACTGAGCCCACAGACATTCTGGGCATGGCGGCATTATCGAACTTAAGTGACTGCTAGCAAAGATCAGTAGTAAATGCTGTTGATAAGTCCAGTGCCCAGGGCATGTAGCAAACTTGCACTTCACAGTCAGGTGGAGAGAGGATAGGGCAGCATTAAGAGCAATTGCTTTGTGTGAATGGGGTGTGCAGGCCCTGGGCAGGGGCACTCCTGCTACCCTTTGCCCTTGTCTATTCATTGAAAAAGGAAGGAAGCACCGAAGTGGCAACACCTCCTGGTTTTGAAAAATCAGAGAAACTTCGAAGTGCCATTTCCCGCCACTGGTCTGTTGCGACCACTGCCAGTTGCTCTAACCTCTTAGTTTTTGCATCCAGCTCTGTTCTGAAATCCTCTTGGCCACTAGTATTAGCTTTGCCTCTTCTTCCATTCCCCAGGTAAAGCAGACTCCAACCCTCATGTGGAAACACAATGCTCTCCTTCTTTTATTCTTTTCAAAAATCTTTCCCGATCATGTTCTCTTCATATGTTTTTAGATGTACTGGAAGATTGTTGCCCAATGCTGTGCTAAGAAATCATTCTTTTTTTTTTTCTTCTTGCCCTCCCCTCCTTAGAGTGTGGGAATGGGACAGGTTGCATCATCACATCCCCAAACAAGGATGAAACCATGAAGGTGCAAGACAACTCAATCATCATCAACTGTGATGGGTTCTATCTCATCTCTCTGAAGGGCTACTTCTCTGAGGAGCTCAGCCTCAGCCTTTATTACCGGAAGGGTCGGAAACCTCTCTTCTCCCTGAGCAAGGTCAAATCTGTCGACTCCATTGGAGTGGCCCATCTAGCTTTTAAGGACAAAGTCTACTTTAACGTGACCACTCACAATACCTCCTACAAAGACATCCAGGTGAATGGTGGGGAATTGATTGTCATTCTTCAAACTCCTGGTGGATTCTGTGCCTACTGAGGACCTGAGGGCTGCACCTAAGCCTGGCACCAGCAAGAACACTGAACTGGGGTTGGACAGGACTCTGATTCTTCTGTGGGAGTGGAGAAGTCGTCCTAGCTTAGCCCCCATATATGGCCACACGGGATGTGACCAGAAGCAGATCCCCTAACTCAGGGATATTTAAAACTTATTTTACATACGAATTAACTTTATTTATCTTCACATCTTCTAAATCACCTATCCCTCATCCCTGATGGTTGCGTCAAGCTTACTAGTTACCTCTACAAAAATGAGAAAATAGGTGCCCCTTCCTTAAGGCACATTATTTCTATTGATCAGGAAATTGTCATAATAAACTTTCTTTATTGAAAAAGACACTTGACTACCCTTTGCTGGAAATTTGACATCTGGCTTTATCAAAATGAAGAGGACAAAGGAAGGGGACATGAATCTGTCAAAGGTGGTATCTCTCCAAGATGAAATTAGTTGCTATTTGCATAGTACCTAAATACTTCTCTCATTTGGTGGAGTTCAAAAGGAAAATCGTCTTGAGAACAGCTGCCAGGACTTGAAGACAGCCAGCTAAAGAATACTCTGTGCTCTGGGCTTTTTTTTTTTTTTTTCTTTGCCACTTTGCTTTTCCAGCCTCCAATGTAATTAATAGAGATTTCCCTTCAAAGATGCTATGAAAAATGTAATCAGAAACTTCAGGAAAACTGTAAGAGATTTTTCCAAACTCGGGAGAGCAAGATAATTTATTGTGAAGGTTATCTTTATCGCATGGGAGAGCAGTGAAACTGGACATCTCAGGGTAAAAGTCAGTAAGAATTTAAATAGTCTGGGAAGGAAAAGACATAAGCAGGAGGCAAAGCAACCCATGTGCATTCTCCTGCTTATGCTGAATATACAATCAGCTCCATTTCTTGCACATGTATACCACATTGCTAGTTTAAAAAAATGAAGCAATTCTTTTCTTAAACACAAATTTATGTTGAGACACTGAGAAGCTATTACATGAAAAATACTGACATCTGTCTACAAACACCGTCATATCATATATGATCTCACATTGATAATTGAGACTAGAATGACCAATAATCAGCCAATACCAATAGGGGAAAAGATCCACTTATTTTTAATTTAAACATCCCTATGGATTCATCAGGCTTATGGCACTGTGGACAAACTTCCAGATGATTTGTAAGAACTCAAATTTTTGATAAAATTTTTAAATGGCAGCAAATGTCCTTCTCCCATTTTAAAGAGTGTATAACATAACATAGAATCTTTCTGGATGGTTCTGTGTCATCACAGTGATTGTACAGTGATATCTTCAGGATCTCCAGAAAGGTGGAAGGCAGTGTGCCCCTACACTAAATGGCCTCAATTACATTTTGACTTTTTCCTATCTATTTAACACAGTTTTCCATGTGTTTTATCTATGTCCACCTATGTTCCTGCACCCTCTATTTTAATCCGTTATGGAGAGAAGCTAAACAAAGATGCATCATAAAAAGAAGCTAAATAAGAGAAATTGTGCATAAGAGTAACCAAGCTCTGAGTGGCTGCCAAGGCAGTCACATACTCATGATCATGATCATGACCATGAGCATAATCATAGGTAAACATTAGTGGAGGGTCTGCTGTGGACCAGGCATTGGGCTAAATGCTTTACATGAATTGTTCTGAGCAAGATACTCTATGACATTTGTCTTAACTACTCAGAGAATTTAAATCTCTGTGTGTCGGTGTGTGTAGGGTGTGTGTGTGTGTGTGTATTTCTTTGTTATTATTTTTTTTTTTAATTTTTTTTTCAACGTTTATTTATTTTTGGGACAGAGAGAGACAGAGCATGAACGGGGGAGGGGCAGAGAGAGAGGGAGACACAGAATCGGAAACAGGCTCCAGGCTCTGAGCCATCAGCCCAGAGCCCGACGCGGGGCTCGAACTCACGGACCGCGAGATCGTGACCTGGCTGAAGTCGGACGCTTAACCGACTGCGCCACCCAGGCGCCCCTGTATTTCTTTGTTATTGACTATGGTCTGCAAAGTTGAAGTTACTCAATGGGTGATATCTAATAAGTAAATGTTTATGACTTAGATAATATTTAAGAATATATATATTTACTTTTTAAAGTTTGAAATGTCTAACTATATTTCTCCTGGACATGCACATTCCAGGCGTAAGCATAATTGTTCTGTGGGTTATCTGTCTTTGGTGTCATGGTCCTTCCTCACAGATGCCCACTCCCTTTGGGTACATGTGGCTTGCTCTTCCCATGCTGGCCTCCTTTGGCCATGCAGGGATTTTATTTTGCCATGCACCAGCTTCACCCCCTCTCCCACTTCTACCCATCAAAATATGTTTGTCCTCTTTAAGTCATTCCTTCAGAAAGGTAATTAACCCTTCTTTGGAGACAACAAAGTTTTGTGGAAAGAGAGCTGAATGAAAAGTCAGGAGACTGAAAACCTAATTTGATTCAGTCAGTAACTAGCTATGTGACCTTAAGCAAGTAACTTCCCATTTTTGGATCCTGTTTTCCTCTCCTGTTAAATGATCATTTTAGAATCTTATAGTGCTAACTGTGAATGTACATACTAAATGTCTACATACTGGTTGCTGTGAGTCAAGATGTATAGCCTTGGATTTTTTTTTCTTAGACAAACTAACATCTTCACTCAGCCTTCTTGAGGGTTCTTTCAAAAAGCAGCTGCAATTGTTACTTAGTAACTTTCTGTTTAGGGGATGGCTTAAGGGATTCTAATCTTGATCCAAAATCATAATTTGTTCTTAAGCATACTGGGCAGGTCCCCTATTTTAAGACATAATTTTGTAGTTAGTGCTTTTCTGGCTCTCAGGAAGTATTAATATTGATATTAATAATATAGCTAATAATAATATTGATATTTACATGGAAACAAATAAAAGATTTCAGAATTCACTACTGGCTAAAGTGCTGCTGCAGTTTTTATTTATCCTTCTCTTCCTTTCTTTGTTATGATCAGCTAATTCCTTGATGAGGGAAGGATGGGGCACGTGTTCCAGTTTCCTAACTGCTTCCAATTTCTTTTTTTTTTTTATTTAAAAAAAAATTTTTTTTTTAACCTTTATTTATTTTTGAGACAGAGAGAGACAGAGCATGAATGGGGGGGCAGAGAGAGAGGAAGACACAGAATCGGAAGCAGGCTCCAGGCCCTGAGCCATCAGCCCAGAGCCCGACGCAGGGGACCGCGAGATCGTAACCTGAGCTGAAGTCGGATGCTTAACCGACTGAGTTAAGGCGCCCCAACTGCTTCCAATTTCAACCATCGGAACTATGTCCGGGGATACAACTATCCAAATTCCATCTTTGCTTTTGAAAAGATATTCACTAGAAGTCCTTAGGGCTCCTCTTCTTGTTCATGAGACTGATTCAAATACAATTCTACTATGTACTGTTCTTCTTTCTCTCAGGAATTCTTGCCTCATTTCTAAACCTGGGATGATTTCTTTGAGTATTATGTCCCTTCTCCTTAGTAGTAATTACATCCTAAACCTTATTACTCTCCTTATCTGTAAAATGGGGATATTAATACATACCTTCTGGAGTTTTGTGACCCTGAGAGTACCCGACATATTGTCTGAAACACGGTTGGTCTCAATACCTAATAACTATTAATTTACAAAAGTCACTTTAAGTGCCAAAGGAATAAAAGAATTATGGGGTTTAGTATGAGAGATCACTGAAGCATAATGGAAGAGCCTTGTAGGATTTAGACTGGAGAAGACAGAAGGAGAACATAGCTGGGGAAGAACAGTGTGTACAAAGGCAAAGGGGTAGGACTTCTCATGGTGTTTTCTGGGGACAAGGAGCTACCACTATGGTTATGGCACTCATTCACCCATTTCTTTGTTTGAGCATATTCTATTTTTCCAAGACAGGAATTTGTGTTTGGTCATTGTGGGAGATAGGATTAATGGGTAGTTTGAGGATAAAATATTGGAGGTGTAAAGACAAAACAGAATTTTGGATCATGTCTTACAAAAGGAAACACAGGTTTTTGAGAAGAATTTATCACGGTTTTGGAAAAAGTCTAAGTTCTTGTCAGTGTCACTTTCTCATTTTGACCCAATTCATAGGAGAATCTTACCTTCTGTCAGTTGAACAAAAGCTTCAAATTACTTTAACTAGAAAAAAATGAGAAAAAGAAATTTCATAATAGCCACATTTTTAATACTTTCAGAAAAAGACATATAGAAGTTTTCTTATTAAATTCAAAGTAAATGTTTAATAAAGATTACACTGGGTCATTTTAAAAATATTACATATTTTCTAAAAAGTAGTATTTAAAAAAATATCAACCTGAGATGTTATGAGCACTAAAAAATAATCCCTGGGGATTTCAATCTCTCTGCACATTTATTTGTTTTTGTCTTAAATATACCCTGTTTCTAAAATTAAATTTTTGGCAGTGCTTTGAAATTGCCTAGTTCTGTCTGTCTATCTATCTATCTATCCATCTATCTATCTAAAATTTTCTTTCACTGGCAGTAGCCTCACTCACAGAGTATGTGGGTGGCTTGGAACCTCTCCCTAGAGTTCCTAGTAACTAGCCATGGTGGCTGTCATAGCCACTCATTCAATCTGTGATCCATGGGATCAAGACATGAAAGGATATGGGTAAAATTTAAATGTAATTATTACTGAGGAGAACTGACACATGAAGCCTATAATGCTTTACCACCACCACTCCCCTCCCCCCTCCAACAAAAGCTGGTTGGATGGTTCTTTTTAATCTTGAAGGCATGGCATATAAGGACCTTTAGTTCTGACTGGTGCCTGGGGGGACAATTAAGGTAGCATTCTATCTGGAAGCTGGCAGGGAGTTGACATAGGAAGAGGATGCTAAGCATCCAGGGTATTCCAGCTTTCTGCCACAGTCCTTGAGATATCTGAAGCCATTGTGCATGAGCACAGTTAAACATGGTCCTGACCAGCATTTTGGTTAATGGAACTGGCTGACTTTGTTTATCTTTT